CCCACGGCCGATGTTGTCCGTGTGGGGCCCCAGCTTGCGCCTTGTTAGTTCTGAGTAGGCAACGCCCAGCGTCACCGAGTGGTTGGACACACGTACCTCCCAGTAGTGCTGCCCGGCCTGGAAGCTCTGGGCACACTGCACTTGCCAGAGCTCGAAGCTGCCCGGCCCATCTGGGCCCCGGGGCTTGCGACAGTGCTTTACCCGCCGGTCCTGCTGAGACAGGTAGAAGTGACGGTTGGCGCTGATGGGGTCGAAGGTCAGGTTGCGATAATCTGTTGGGCAGAGATGGACGGAAGGTGAGCGGGCAAGGGTGCCTGTGCCTGGCCACCATCCTGTCCCCAGAGGGGAGACACAGCAACTGAAGGTCCACGGGCGGATCGCCAGACATCTGCCGGGGTGACTGCAAGCTGAGCTAACGTGGACATCATCTCAGCATCCGACCCTCCATGCAACCCCTGAGGTGGAACCTTCCATCAGCTTCGTTTCACAGATGAGAAAACGAAGGTTCAGAAAGGTCACCTAACTTCGTAGTAAGTGGAAGAACTGTGATCAATCCCAGATTTGTGTGCCCAGTATCTCCTTAAACACTACACTGGCTGCACGTGTAAGAGGTGAGGTGTGCAGAGGGGCGAGGCTAGCCCCAGGGAGGGGAGTGAAACAGACTTCCTGTACAGAACAGTCACAGCACATGCCCTGCACACACACGTGCGCACAGTGCACACGCACAGACCCACGTGTACACACAACACACTCACACGCACACGCTCACACAGGTGCACATACACATTCGATGGGCCTTACTCTGCCAGAGTTTCCTCCTCAGTGGACAAACGAGGCTCGCGACTGGTGCCAGGGGACCTGGGGCCTCTAGGGGGCAAAGCAGTGTTTTAGGGGAGTGATCTGGAGGGGAGCTCATGGGGGGCTGGGCCCTGACTCCATTACCACCCCAGTGGGAAGAACAGCTGGGCCCAGTGGGGTGGAGAGAGATCTGGGGTCAGCCTTACCCATGGAGCCAAAGTCAGCAGCCTCGGCTGGTGTTCCGGGGTGGCCCCCCTCTTGCAGGAGAAGGGCACACAGCTGGCTCAGGGACTCCTTCAGGCCGCCCAGCTGCTGATCTTCATCCCAGTGTGGGAGAGTCAGTGGCCCAAGAGGGCCTGGGGGCGCCAGGAGCTGTGATTCCTGAGCCCCGGGGACAGCTGCAGTAAGCCGGAGCACGAGGGGCAGGCACACCGGTCCCCCACCCTGCCGCCCCAAGGCCTGGTACCTGGAGGAAGGTCCGGTCGTCCAATTGCTCCAGGAGGTTACGAATCCTGTGGTCACAGCAAGACAAGGCCTCCAGGTGGCCCTGCAGTCGCTGTTTCTCGTCCCGGGCCTGTTCCAGCGCCTGTGTCTTGGCCACCTCGATGTCCCTCAGGGCCAAGTCCCGCTGCATCTCCAGGGCCTGCAGCAGGCGGTTGAACTTGCCAGAGATCACGGAGGTCAGGGTGCAGGCTGAGCTCTGGGTGGGCACAGGAGAAGTCAAGGGCAGCCAAGTCCCTGGGCTGCCCGCTGGCCTGAGGGGTGGGAATGTGGGGAGCCATGGTCCCTGGAATCTCTCCCCCCGTTCAGCCCTTCCTTTCCTGCTGCCAGGAGGCATTTTCAAGGCAGCTTACACCTACTGCCCGGTGTCCCAGGGACCGGCCAGTGGCTGCTCGAAGGACACGGCATGAGGACGTGGGGGGCGTGGAGCAGACAGGCCTCATACCTGGATCTGGCTGCTTCGCTGCTGCAGCTCCTGTAGCTGGCTCTCAGCCTGGGTGGCCTGCTGCTGGGTGACCTCCAGTGTGGCTCTCAGCTGGGCCTGTGGTGCCCATCGGGGGACAAGTGACAAGAGGGGGCCAGGATCAGCTGTGAAGTTCCCCCCTCAGCCAGTCAAAACACCTACAGATGCTGGGCATCCCCTCCTCATGCCACCCCAGGTGAGGCCAGCACGCAGAGCATCAGCCTTGGTGTGAGCCCCGGGAGAATTGGGTCAGAGTCCCAGGGAGGCCTGGACAAGGCCCCTTCCCCACCGGGAGCAGGGTGGTGCAGAGGCCTTGGGCTGAAGACGAGCAACCTGGGGCGGAGCAGCCCCCCACTACCCCCAGTCAATAAATGGGAGCTTACGCGGCCTTCAGCGGAAGGGGTGACGACCCAAAGCACCAAAGTTTTTTGACAGGTGGGCAGTGCACCGCAGGTATAAGTTGGGTTCTTCCAAATGCCTGGCCAGTCCTCAGGCCCAGCTTTGGACATGAGGGGGAAGGGGGCACCCTTATTTGGTTGTGACCTGTCTGGTCTCCTCGAGAATCAAAATGCTATACTCTCGTAGTTCAGAACTGCACATCTGCTAGGATTTGGTTCCCTGTACCAGGTCAAGAGCCTGTCTTGATTCTTCTTGTCCCAGCAACACTTTGATGGAAGGACTGATATTATCCCCGATTCACAGGTCAGAGAAGTTGACAACTTGGCCAAAGTAATCAGGTCTTCCTAAGTGCAACACTTGTGCCTCTGTTCAGGCCTCACCGCCTCCGGCACGGTAAAACATGCTGAAGGTAGGAGGGGGCAGGGCAGACTTTTCTGGTTCACCCTGACTCTCCCGCAAGGTCACACATCCAGCCCCTCACACCCCAGCGTCACTTCCCCTCTCCCTAGCCAAATTCTAGCTCCTGCAGTGCATCTGCCGCGGGCTGTACCACCTGTTCCTCCCTCTCTCCCTGTTGCTGCCCTCCACTGCAAACTTCGATGCTTAGTGCAAGGTCTTTGGCCCCACAAGCAGTAACACCCTGTCCTTACTCTGTGCCTTCAGCAGCCACAGGGATTATTCTCCACATTCTGGTTCTGGGCTCCTTGACCTCCTCATTCCATCTCAGCCACTCACCCCTGTAACTTCACCCTGGACCCGTCACCAGCTCTAACATCTCTATTCCAAGCATCTGTTTTCTGACCACCACCTCCTTTCAAACCAGAATAAAAACAGGGCCAAGCGAAGCTGCTGAAGCTGCCAGCCCCGCCCGGGCGCAGAGAGCAGGGCGGGGTCCCCCGAGGGTCACCTCGCGCTCTCGGCGCTCGGCGTCCAGCAGCGTCCGCTCGTGGAGGCGACACTCGCGCACGGTGCACACGCTGCACACGCAGAGGCCCTCGGTGCGGCAGAAAAGCTCGAGCGGCCTCCCGTGACGGGGGCAGCACGCGCCGGGGCCGGGGTCGGGCGCCGGCCGGACGCGCAGCTCCTCCAGCACGCCGCTCAAAGCCACGTTGCGGCGCAGCTCGGCGCTGTCGGGGAAGGGCTCCCGGCACTCGGGGCACACCTTCTCGCTGCGGCCCAACCAGTCCTGGATACAGGCCCTGCAGAAGTTGTGGCCGCAGAACAGCGTCACCGGGTCCTGGTAGAGCCCCAGGCAGATGGCACAGGTCAGCCTGTCCTCCAGCCACGGCGCGGCCATGGCGGCGGTGGGCGGCCCCAGACGCACGGGCGGAAGGCCGGGGCCTCTTAAAGGGACCGCCGGCGCCCGGGTGTGGGTGCGGCGGGCGGAGCCAGGACCTGCCTGGGAAGACGAACTTGACAGCCCTTCTTCCGCCCCGACCAGCCGCCACTCCCAGTGCGCTCGCTCCACCCTGCGCCGACGGCTGCGGGATTGGCGTCCCATTCCGGTGCTCGGCCCCTGTCAACTCCGAGCCACCCCTGCCTGCCTTTTACCACCCCAGACTGGGAGTTGGGGTCCAGCTCTCTCTGGGACCTCCATCCTGCTTCCCTAGATCTTCAGTCCAGCAGCTCCCGTGCAGGGAATCTGGACACAAGAGGCTTGGGAAACCCGTCGGGCCTCCTGGCCTCCTCCTGGCTGAGGGCCACCACCAGAACCTCTTCTGAGCCCCTAATCTGAAAATCTCATGCAAATACTACTAACAACAAGGGCTGTTGTTATCTACCTCCCAGGGGTTTTGGCGATTAAATGGAACAGGACCGCACATGGGAATGCCTGGCAATGAGCATGGGGCACACAGCTAGTGCTCATTAAATGCTCTCTCCTGACCCGAGGGGCCCTGCTGCACTTTTTCCTTGAGCTGAATTTCAGGCACTTGCCGGATTAGGGTGTCTCCCTTCTCTAGGTTATGCCTAATTTCGGTTCTTTTAAAGCAAAGAGTGAGGTGGAAATTTCTGGTTACCAAGAGACAGAGACCAAAAAACAGTGGTTCCTTCCTACCCCCTTTAATGGAAACTAAAGCAAGCTTAACCTGCACTTGGAATCCCCTCTTGGTGTCAGCCCTCTGCTGGGGAGAGTTCCTTGTTTGCAGGTCCCAACTGTTCTGGAACCTCACTTTTTAGAGAGGTGGTTCCCCTGCAGCTGAGCACAGAAGGATCCTGACTGCTAACCCACCTGCCCTGGGGGCAGTGTGTGCTGGGCCAGCGTGAGCTGGAGGAGGGTTAACTCTTTCTTTCCAAAGGAGCTGGCCTAATTTTGAGGCGGGGCGTCCTCTCCCTTTGATGCAGCAAGCGTATTGTCTTCTGGGTGACAGTATGTGAAGTTTCTCTTGCTGGAAAAGGTGCATTGATCTCTTAACTGGCTACTAGGCAGTCTCTGCCTTTAGAGAGGAGAAATACCCTAACCATCCAGCAAGCACTCGGGAGCTTTCTGGGTCCTGAGCAGGGGGCGTGCCCAGAGATCTCTGACACCTGCCTTTGCCCCACCTGACAAGGCTTCTTATTCAAAGCATCTGGAGGCCCGGAGCCTGTGAAGAGCCGGCAAGAGGCCAATGCCCAGGGCTGGCAAATTTCTTTCAAGAGGCCTGTGGGAGCAGCCAGGGCCCACTGCCGGCTTTTCTTCTGCACCCGTCTTCAGCCAGTGGATCGCAGGGCCTCTGACACCCTCAGGAAGCAGAGGTGAGGGGTCACCTCCTGGGGTGGGAGGCAGCCTTCTTCCCACCCATAAAGCAAGAGTCCCACCGGGGGCATTCTGGCTGCTCCCAGAACACAGACCCAGACCAGCTACAGCAAAAATCAATATATTCATACCCCCAACTCCCCAGCCTTCTTCACTCCCAAGCCCTGGGCCTGCTGGGAGGGCAGCAGAGGGGCTGCCTCAGGCAGGCCGGAGAACCCCAATGCTTGCCCCCCTTGGCACTGCGTCTCTATTGCTCCTGCCTGCGGAGCCTGACAGGGTGGCCTGAGAGGCCCAGTCCACTCTCTGAGGGGGGTGGCACTCCAGCCACTCAGTAGATGCCATAGGTGGGTTCGTGACTGTCTCGGTACCGGTCCAGGTAGCGCAGGGGCTGCCGGTGGGGGAAGCGCTTCTGCTTAGGGTGATAAGGGGGCGGCCGCATAAACTCAAACACAGGCTCTCGCATGTCTGCAAGAAGAGTGAAGGGGCGTGTGTGTGGACTGCTGCTGGCCTGAGCCCCTCTCGCGTCTGCCAGGTGGGACCCAGCCAGCCCACCCCAGGAGTGGCACGCCTGCTGGTGGCCCTCTCCTGACAGGCGCTCCTCCTGGCAAGTCAGGAGACGTCTGTGAGCTCAGGCCAGCCGCCCCCTCCTCCAGCCCACTCTGCCCTTACCCAGGAGCTGGTGGAAGATGTGGGTGACCGAGTCATCCCAGCGGCACTGGAAGAAGGCCAGGCCAGCTGGAGTCATGGCATCTTGGTGTTTCTTGTAGAAATCAAAAGTGTGGAAGGTCCGCTGGGCAAGCTGGTAGCTGGAGGAAGAGCGGAGCATTAGAGAGTGGGGAAGGGGGCACCAGAGCCCCACAGGCAATGCTGAGAAGCCTCTTAGGGTCTGCCTAGCACAGCTCAAGTTACGAGAGAGGAGAACTGAGAAAGATTGACCACTGCTGGGAAGCTGGCCTGAGGCTGGGGGTAGCTGTGTGGGGGGGAGGGGCACAGATTACCAGGGTGAGGGCCGGGTGTCCCCAGAGAAGTCGATTGGCTTGTCCTGCTTGAAGAGCAGAAAGGCAAAGCGGTGGAAGCCGGAGCCTCGGGCAGGGAAGGGGGGCAGGTAGGGACACGTCTCCTGTCCTTCAGCGACCCTGTTGCCCGGGATGTTGGTTCTGGTGAGAGAAAAAGCATCTGTTAATTACCACTCGTGGGAGGTGGCAGCAGGAACATCCCCACCCGTGTGCTCCCTAGAGACTGATATACCTCCCCGGGAAGAGAGACCCTAAAATGATCTCTATTGTACAATCAAGTAGGAAGTAGAGCTCTGTAAACCCTCGGATGGACTGCAAACTTGTGGAGGGAACAGTAGGGGCTCAGAGACCAACAAGGGCCCCAGGAACTGTCAAGATGAGAGCTAGGTCAAGCAGCCCGTTTACTGGCCCTGGGGAGCTGTGGGGATGCCACAGCCGTGCACGCGGGAGAGCCATGCGACCTTGGGCTGTTTCTCTCCCCGTTTCTAGGTTTGTCAGGGAGTGTTTGCCCAGCCTGGCACTGGGATGGCCGCTGTACCTGCCCCAGGTACAACTCCCCAGAGGGTCCTGTTACACAGGCTGGTAACTGCAGTTGAATAAAAATACCTGACCTCCTCCCCTTGGCCTGGTGCTCAGAACCAAAGGCCACTGAGAAAACAAGAGGCAGCCCACAGGTACCAGAGGCCTCTCATGGACTCCCTTCCCATTTGATTGTCACAGAGCCCCTCAGGGTGGCTAAGGCACATGGTGGCATCATCCTAGTTTTACAGGTAAGGAAATGAGCTCAGGGAGACCAGGAGACCTGTGGGAGAGGCCAAGGCCCACTGCTGCCTGCTTTCCTTCTGCACCTGTCTTCAGCCACTGGATCACAGGGCCCCTGACACCCTCAGGAAGCAGAGGTGACGAACCACCTCCAGGGATGGGAGATGGTGGTTAATCCATGGTGGAGCCACGACTGAAATTCAGGTGCAGCTCTTTCCAGGGTGCCAGGGCCTCCTGGAATGCTTCTGACCCATTCCCCTACCCCAGGTACTCACACCAGCCAGTGCAAATACTCGGCATCCGGTTCCAGCAGGTGTCCATCTGCACATAAACACACCCCACTGACTGCGGGAACTGCCGCCCCTTCCCAGCTCCTCCCTTGGAAGGAGCTGGGGCTGGAGCTTTCCATCTGGCCCCTACCCCAGCTCCCCAGGGCCCTGGCTCACGGGAGGTGAAGGAGGCAGGAGAGTCCCAGTGAGCCCCAGACACCTACCCAAGTTGGTGAGCAGTAGTGTCCACATGGAGCCCTCGTCTGCCTTATAGGTCACCTCCGGGGCCTGGGCAGCCTGGTGGGGAAAGAACGATGGAGCTGTCACCCCCATCAGGGATGGACAAGCTGTTCTAAACAGACCTTCATTCTGGAGGTCAGGAGCCTGAGAAACCCTGGAGAAAGAAGAGTCCATTCTGAACCAAATGCCCATGACAGCCCCTTGAGAGGCAGGTGGGCAAACAGAGACTTATAGACTTATAGAACTCTACAGAGTTGACGAGCCTGAGATCTGAACCACAAGAAGGCCAAGGACCAGGGGCTAGGAGGGCACTCTGAAGACAGAGGATCCGTCACAGCACTATGCCAAGATGGAGCTTCTTTTCCTTTCATTTTACATTCTCTTCTTTGTAATTACTGTATCATCGTGTTGTTTATCAGGAAATCAAAAAGAGGAGACAGAGAACAAGAAGACCCCAGATCAGTCTACACAGATGCCATGCTTATGTCCTTAACCACCATAAAAACCGCCTCTATAAATGCTTTCAAAAAGGAGTTGTTGTCTGTGGCCCCATGGTGGGATATGTCTGTGTACACAGGGCGGGGAGGGACACAGGCCAGCAGTTACCTCAGTTGGAGTGACCTCATTGCCGTAGTACACAGGCACCAAGTCGTCCTCGCCTACAGCGTAGGCCACATGCAGGGGGACTCGGGGCACGAAGGTGGCCCCGTGGAACAGGTCTCGATAGAGGCCGTAGTGTTCAGCCAGACGCTGCTTGTGGTAGGGGCCACAGGTCCTCTCCCACTCAGCCCTCACTGCCTCCAGTGGGATGCGTGCTGGGAAGGAATGATGCCAGCTGGGATGCAGGGTCAGGGCAGGGACACACCCAGGACCCTCTCCCCTGGGAAGGCTTACCTGTGCGGAGGCGAGCGGCCCGTTCCTCCTCCACATTGGCCCGCAGCGCCTGGAGGACCCGCTTCCGCTCCAACAGCTGTTGGGTCCGGCAGACCTTAGGTGCAGGCAACCCAATGTCAATCTTGTCTTTGGGATCTGGGGAGGGAAGGTGTGTTAGAGAAAGTGGGATCAGGTCTTGGTTAAGCTGCCTGTCCATACCTTTCCTTTCACTGGGCAAGCTCTGCTGCTAAAGCTTACCCTTTAATTCACAAAACTAAAATATACTGTGTAGTCAGCTTCACAGACATGAACAGGGTCCAGTTGCTAAGCAAATTGGATACAACTTGAGACTGATCCCTAAACCAGGTTACATCACCTGTCTCGGTCATGGGAAATCGAGGCGGCTGGCCATCCCAATTATAGTTGGGATCACCTTCAAGCCTGTTCACAGCTGGCCATGGACTCGCACCTGTGTACCTGGCAGAATTCAGAGCTGAAGCTAGAAGGAAAGAAGCACTTCTCACACTTAATGCACAAAACCACACAAGTCACCTGGGAAACTTGTTTAAATTCAGATTCTGAATCAGCGAGTTAGCGTGGGGCCTAAGACTCTGCATTCCTAACAAGCTCCTAGGTAATGCCCATGCTGCTGTTCCCAGAACACACTCTGAGGAGCAAGACCCTAGAAAACTTTCAATCCAACACCCTTTCCCATTTACGTTAGACTATGACCATAAGAAACAGACACTGAGCCCACATCAAGAGTGACATTAGTCTAAGAATTCCGATTAACTGTATCCTTTAATCCTCACAACGATCTTGTGACACAGACACAATCTTTTTATTTTATAGTTGAGGAAACTGAACCTCAGGGAAGTCACTCCCAAGAGATTGACTTGGGTTTAAGTAAGATTCCACATGTGTGCCCTTAACCATCATTGAAATGCCTTCATAAACGCTTTCCAAAGAACAAACTCCTTAAGTGTAGTCAGTCTCTCAGGAGCAGGGTCCCTGAGTCACCTTGCCCAGGGCTTTCAATTTAATTCAGCAAAGTATTGCATACCTACGTGCCAAGCACTGTGCGGGTGCAAGGATCCAATGGTGGTCAAGACAGGCAAGATCCCCACCCTTAGGGAGCTCATAAACTGGGAGGGAGGCAGCGAAAAGAGTCAGGATACGGTGTAGCCAAGGCTACATGAACAGTATTGTAGGAGCAGAGAGGGGCGTTCTAACCCGGAACTGGGCCGTGGGGAGCTGGTCAGGAAAGGGCTTTAGGTGTAGAAATATCCAAGGTGGAACTCTAATAATGAGAGAAGGGAATGTTCCAAAGCAGGGGGACCGAAAGGTGTGAAAAATCCTGGTGGGACTAAATCGCCACCGGTGCGCACGGAAACGCTGGCAGGCCCCCTCCCCCAAGCTCGGGGAGGACGCCGGCGGGGCCCCCCCGAGTCCCAAGGCGGCGGGGTCACCGCCCAGCTCCGGTCGCCCCGCACCTGACTCCTCTCCGAAATGCTCCCGGTAGGTCCGCCACCAGTGCGGGTCCCGCGCCTCCTGCTCCGCCCGGCGCCGGTAGCGGTCGAAGCTGCGGTACTTCTTCAGCCGCTCCAGGTTGCTCACGTCGATGACCTCGTTGGGCATCGGCCCCAAAGGAGCGGTCCGGCGGCTCAGGGCGGCTGCGGGCAGAGAGCGGGACGTCAGGCCGGCCCCGGCCCGGCCCACGGAGGTCGGGGGCGGGAGCTGGCTCGATCCCCAGGGTTCGGCTATACGGAGACCTCCAAGAGCCCTCACCTGAGGTGCTGAAGCCCCGCCACCTCCGACTCCCATACAGCGCGACTCGCCACCAGGTCGCCGCCATCTTCCCCCAGGCCGCCGTCGCCGCCGCGGCTCCTAAGACCCGAAAGAGGCGGCCGCAGCAGCGCCTGAGCGCACGGCGGAAGCCCCGCCCTCAGGCCCCGCCCCAGCATCATAGGAGCCACGCCCCCTCCTTGGCCCAGGAGTCTTACTTCCTGGGATCCCCGAGCTCCTCCCTCCGGGAGGTGGCTGCGGACCTCGGGCGCCCCGGCTCCGGAAGTGACCGGTGAACGGCGAGGCGGAGCTGCGAGCGGTCCGGACCCCTTCCCGCGTCCAGCCACCAGGGGGCAGCACAGACTGGGGACGGTCGGCCGGGCCCGCAGCCACCTCGGCTCAACGAGGTAGGCGCTTTGCGGGGCTCTGGGTGCTGCTCTCTCTCAAGGGTCACCCAGTCCCTGAAGGCGGCATCCTGAGCACCCCCGGCAGCACGGGCAGGGGAAGGGGTTGCGAGCAGGGATTCAGGAGTCCTCCTGCTTGGGTTCAGATTCCAGATTGTGACCTTACTGTCGCCCTTGCAGTTTCCTCATTTGGAAAAAAAAAAACACGTAGTAATAGTGCTTACCTCATAGGATTGTTAGAAGGATTAAATATGAATTAACATATATAAAGCGCTTAACTGTGGGATATGTGTTAGCTTTTGATCACCTCCAAGTGTTTGCCTTTGCCTAAACCTTTTCAGGGTTGTGTTGTTCTAGGGATTCAGTTCTAACAAGATGAAACTTGGTACCCCTGGTGATCTGGACCCGCTTCTGCTCTGGTCCCTCTGTCCTGGAATTCAAGCTTCCATGACACCAACCTTTTGTAACCCAGCAAAGGGCTCTTGTGCCTGTGATGCAGAAAGCCAGACTCTTGACACTGGATCTGCAGCGGAGTAGATTTATTGCAGGGCACCAAGCAAGGGAGTGGGAGACAAACCTCAGATCCACCCCAACTTGGTCTTTGAGTTTTGTTTTGTGGGGGTTTTTTTAGGGGAGGAAAAAGGAAGCTGGGGTTAATCATCATTTTTTGACATTTTTTTTTAATATGGACCACTTTTAAAGTCTTTATTGAATTTGTTACAATATTGCTTCTGTTTTATGTTTTGGTTTTTGACTGCAAGGCATTTGGGATCTTAGCTCCCTGACCAGGGGATGGAACCTGCACCTCCTGCATTGGAAGGCGAAGTCTTAACCACTGGACCACCAGGGAAGTCCATGCATTTCTTAATCAAAGTTTTGGGAATCAGGATGTTTCTGGTTTACGACTCTCTGGCCAGGTAGTCCATGGCTTGGGGGTCTGTGAGCTCATCTTGCCCTGGAGAAACGGCCTGAGTTTGCACATGAATGGAGATCTATACTAATAGCAATTTTAGTACATTAACGATGTTATCAACAGCAGCAGTTTTAGTCATCTGACTCTGGTTGATTACTGTTCAGTTAGCACAGAATTGAGATCAGAGGGGATAAGAAAGGGAATAAAGTTTTGGATAGAGAGAATAATCATAAGCTCGGTAAGGGAACATGGTCTTACAGGGACTCGGTTTCACATTTTTCACTTACTTAGCACTTTTCTCCCCCTGGCACCGGACCTTTGCACATGCTGTTACTTCTGCCTTGCACTCCTTACCTTTCCCCCTGTTGCTTGGCTACCTCCTAGACCCCGTGAAGTGGTCCCTCCAGGAAGCCTTCCCTGATGTCTCAACCAGGGCTGCTGACCCATTCAGTTGCTCTGGTACTAGCAGAAGCTTGACCCTCACATTCACACTGAAATGGCATGAGTGGGGGGGGGGCGGTCTCTTAATTCAGCAGGAAGTGGCCACACCTTGAATTTGGTTTTCATAAACAGCAGCCAAACAGCTAAACTCACTGTCACTGCCAATTCACCCATCAATGCACAGCTACTGTATGTGAAGGCCCGTAAGACCCAGTCATTGCTTATTTTTAATATTTTCATTTTATTCAGATGTTACTTATTTTATTTTTTTGGCCGCGCCGCGTGGCATGTGGGATCTTAGTTCCCCAACCGACCGGGGATCTAACTCGTACCCCCTGCAGTGGAAGCGCGGAGTCTTAACCACTGGACCCCCAGGGAAGTTCCTGGAGGCACTGCTTATTAATTTGTGAAATTCTGCTGATGGAAGAGCAGAGCTGAAGGTTGTGAGCAGACCAGGACTGTGCCTCAGGCCAGGAGGAGCACAGGGGTTCCTATATTCTTGATGTCCTGCGTGTGTTTGAATCTGGCCTCCTTTGCTATTTTATCTTCTTTTGTTTCTGAATCCCCTTCTACATGCCTCTAAACCCACCCCCACCCCAGCCTGCTCCTCTAGAGATGAAGACACATGGGACCTCCGGGGCAGAGGCACAGGGTTTGCTAGTCAACCAGATGGCTGTTATTTGTCCATTATTCCTTACTTTTGAAAAACACTCCTGTTCTCTCGCTGTCCTAGAACCCTCTAAGAATGGGGCTTGCTGGGATTTTAACTGTTTGAAAGGCCTAGCAGGGATTCCCACTGGTATCAACTTGAGGCAAATAATAAACATGAATAACTCTTGAAACTGGAAGTATTAGCCCAGCCAGTGTCTTTGATCATCATTACTTTCCACCAATATTTCTCTTTCTACAGGGAACATCTGGGTTTATGACCTTGAGGAGTTGTTTATAATTTTGAAGGGAAAAAGAAAGATCAGCAGATACGTTAACACTCACTCCTGTGTGCAGCCGTCTCCCACCTGTGGCATGGGAGAACGTTAATGAAAAGGGGGTGTGTAAGCCACCTGCCACACCTCAACGCCAGTGACAGGGATCCAGAGCAGTTACAGGCACTGGGTAACGTGTCACCGTAACTAAGTGCCCGTGGAACGTGTCTACTTGGCTGTTCCATGGGCACCCAGTTGCCCAAGACAGCAACCTGGGGTCGTCCTCGACACATCTTCCTTCCTGACCCTGCCTGCATGTCAGGCACCAGGTCCCTCAGTGCCACGCCCGGTGCTGTGCTGTCCCGTCTCCCCTATACCACGGCAGACAGCCTTCTGCCCGCTTCCCTGCCCCCACTCTTGCCCCAGTCCTGTTGGTCTGTTCTCCACCCAAAGCCACAGTACTTTTTCTAAAACACAAAGATGGTTCCACCCTGTTTAAAACCCTTCAATGGGGCTTCCCTGGTGGCGCAGTGGTTGAGAGTCCGCCTGCCGATGCAGGGGACGCGGGTTTGTGCCCCGGTCCGGGAAGATCCCACATGCCGCGGAGTGAGCCATGGCCGCTGAGCCTGCGCGTCCAGAGCCTGTGCTCCGCAATGGGAGAGGCCACAACAGTGAGAGGCCCACGTACTGCGAAAACAAACAAAAAAAACAACAAACGCTTCAGTGAATACCCATTGCCCTGAAGATAAAAATTCAAACTTTAACAAGGTAAACAGAGCCTCGTCGACCTGCCCCCTAATTCTAAACTCATTCCTGTTGGGTCTCCCTGCACCCTCCCCCAATACGTGCCTGTGATTGCCCACATATCTGTCAGGTGACTGCTTAAATGCCAGCTGCTCCCAGGCTGTGCCCAACCTTAGACCTACCTCTGGCCCTTCACACAGGTGGGAATTCGTTAAGTGTGTGTTGAGAGGATTGAATTCCAAGCTTCAACAAGGCTTCTAATGGGACACGAATGCTTCCCTCCTCTGTGTGGGCACCACCCCAAGCAGCGGCTTGGGGATCTTCTACTTCACAGAAGCACCGTGTGCAGCGCGCTTTTCTAGAAGTAGCCGGCAGTGATGTGGCTGAGCGCCTGGGGCTTTGGAATCTGTCCAAGCAGAACTCAAATCCAGGTTCTGCTGTTTGCTGCGTCACCTTCGGCAGATTATTGAACCTCTGAGTCTCAGTCCCTTCATCTGCGAAGTAGGGGTGATAATCACACCCTTCTCCTGCTTGTGGTCCAGCCAGGGGAGTATGGGGCTGGAGAGTTATTACAGCAAATGACAGCCCTACAGAGCAAACATTTCCAAGAAATAGGTTCAAACTCTGATGAGCCATGGCAGATTCTAAGATTCCAATCATTAAGAATACTGCAATTTAGGGAATTCCCTGGCGGTCCAGTGGTTAGGACTCTGAGCTTTCACTGCTGAGGGCCCGGGGTTCAATCCCTGGTTGGGGAACTAAGATCCCACAAGCCTCACGGCCAAAAAAAAAAAAAACAGAAGAACATAGCAATTTAGTGGGTCCAAGAGGCTGTATATAAATGAGCTCCCTCTGCAAGCTGCTCTAAAAGAGCAGAGATGCACCTGTGCCTGCTCACACCCCACTCGGCACTACCCTCTCCTCCACCACCTTCCTGCTCCCCAGACGGTCCCCTCTGATGGGAGGTGAGAGAAGCCGCTCTAGAGGTTAATTGTGATTTTGTTAGTTGAGTCCTTGGGTCTGCAGGAGACAACTACCAATCCTCCCACCCCTCTCCTGGCACCCCTCTGGCTGGCCTTGGCCCTCTGCCCACACGTGGAGAAGGGCGGAGCCCCCCACCCGGGACAGCAGCCGGGGTGCGGCCCCTCATGGTCCTCGGCGCTCTGTATCCTCCAAGGCAGGGGCTCTTGCTCTGTCATCTTTGTTCCCACTGGCCGGGGTTTTGTGGCAAGTGAACAGCATGGAGAAAAGCCTTCTGTCCCTCCCCACACCCCACTGTCACCCGCAGCCCCCTCTTTGCCTCTGCGGAGCGCATTAGAAGAAGCCGATGAGGCCAGCGTCTGTGCTGGTGAGTCCGCTGCCCCGGCAGCTGGGAACGAGGCGGGGGCTTTGTGCGCCAGCTTGGGAGCAGGAAGGGCTGGCTGAGTCCCAAGGGCAGGTCAGTCTGTGAGGTAAAAGCCGCTGGGCACAGCGCCCTTCCTGCCCCTGCAGCACCTCCCACCCCCTCGGCCAGGAGGCTAGAAGGCTCTTGAAAATTTGCGGCCTGACTCTACGTCCCCATCAGGGAGGAGACCCGGCGCTCCCTCTGCTGGCCTCTCAGGCAGGGAGGGCAGCAGACTCCTTGTGGCAAGGGAGTCGAGAAGACCCCCCGCCTCAGAAGAGGCCCAGGCGAAAAGATCCCCAGACCATCGATGGGCTGAGGGGCCGAGGGGCCCACAGAGCCCAGTCAGACGCTGGGCCCTGAGCTGGACGTCTGCGGGGCTGGAGCACCGACGCCGTCGCTGACGGTGTCGTGGGGCTGAGATGTCCTCAGCCTCGCGTGTCCCCAGAGGCTGCTGCCTCCTGGGGAGTCTGAGAGGCACGGGGGCGCCTGCCTGCCTCCGCACGGGCCGGAGTGTCGGAAAGAACGCGCTGGCACCCTGTCCACAGGAAGAGCTGTAATAAGGCCCTGGGCGTTGCAGGGCTCTCCCTGGCCCCCCTGCTCGGCACTGGAGGCCAGTGGGCAGTGGGACGGTTCTAGAGTCAGGCCTCTGCTGAGGAGGCAGTGGGGCCTTCAGGCTGAATGCGACGTCATGTTGTAGGAGGCTTTCTTCAGGGTCTCCAGGAAGAACTGTTCGTTCTCCAGGAAGTCACGGTCCTGAAAGGCAGGGCTGAGTGAGCAGCCACCCTCTGGTTCCCTCCTGCCCCGTTTCTGTGCACAGGGACGCTGGGTTGCTGGACTGAGAGTGAGCTGGACCCTGGGTGCCAGCCGAGCAGCCCTCCCTCGGGGCCCTTCTCACTCGCATCCTAGCTCAGCCTGGCTCTGGGAGTCAGTGGGGGTGGGGCAGGGAATGAGCACACGCACTGGAGTGAGACACCAGCGCTCACGCCCAGTGGGGCCACGTGTTCGCACGTGACTTCATGCCTCTAAGCCTGTCTGTAAACTGGAGACAATAACATGACCTGCCTGGTAGGGCTGTGGGAGGGTACAAGCTTATCAGGCATGGCACAGAGCCTGGCATGTAGGAAATGCTCCATCAGTGATGCGGTGAGCATCTCTGAGATGTGTCCTCTAAGCAGTCCGCGCTGCTGCTCTCCTCCAGGGGGTGGGCTCAGCCCTCCCCGGGGCCAGGCTGTGCTCCCTCCTGCCTCTGCCTGAGCTGCTTGTCCCCAGTGTGAACACGAGGAGCCCTAAGTCCAGGGGGAGTGGGTGGGCCTGGGCCGGGGCGGCATCTGCTCTGGGAAGCTCACCTGCTCGGCTGTGTGTTTCAGCAGCACCAGCTTGGCGTAGAGGTGCGAGGGGCCCAGGCCGGCTGGCAGCTGGCTGCACTGAGGAGCCGGGGGGACAGGAGCCACGATGGCTGTAAAGGCCAAGGAGGACGGAGTCAGGGACTGCAGCGCTCCTGAGCCCCTGAGCCACAACTACCGAAGCCCGCGTGCCTAGAGCCCGTGCTCCGCAACAAGAGAAGCCACCGCAATGAGAAGCAGCCCGTGCACCGCGACGAAGAGTAGCCCCCGCTCGCGCAACTAGAGAAAGCCCGAAGACCCAACGCAGCCAGAAATAAACAAACAAACAAACAAAAAACCCAAGATGACTTTAAAACCCAGCTGCCCCCTAACCTGAGCACACAGGAGGCGTGGGCAGGGTGTTGCTGGCCCTGCCCTGCCCAGTGGGCTGGCCGAGCCAATGTCCCACCCTCCTGCAGCCACTTACCACTCAGGCCAGAGGCTGCCGAGCCCTGGGCCCTGGAGAGCAGCCCCACGGGCCCGGAGGGCAGGTCCTGTCGGATACGATCCAGCTGCAGCCGCTGCTGGGCCAGACTCAGATTCTCCTGTCCCCGTCCCCCCAGAGAGGACACAGCTGTGAGGGCAGAAGTCTGGGGGCAGGGGTGGGGGTAGGGATGCCCTGGGAGCGGGGGGAGCAGGAGGCAGGAAGAGCCTTGCCTGGTGCACGTGCCGCTCCTGCTGCCGCAGCTGCTCCTGCTGCCGCTGCACCAGCTGCAGCCGGGCCTGCTGCTCCGCCTGCACCTGCCGGGCCTCACGCAGGGCCTGCTCCCCCTCCTCGTACTTCTGCGAGGCCACCTGTGGGGAGGCCGCCTGGGTCAGCTGGGCTGGCGGAGTGGGTGCACTGCCCACACCCAGGGGCTGAGCCGCTGGGCACCTGGCTCATGCTCTCCACCTCCTCAGCGCGCAGCCTGATGCGCTGGGCGGCGGCGCCGACCCTCTCCTTCTCCAGCCGCAGCTCCCGGCGCTCCTGTTCCAGAGCCTCCCTCTCGGCCGCCAGCTGGTCCTCTTTGGCCCGGAGCTCACTTGCCCTGAGCTTCAGCTCTGCCTGATCCTGGAGACAGCAAAGCCTCTCTGCAGCCTCCTCCCCGGAGCTGAACTGGGCTCTGCTCAGGGTTCCGAGGACCTGCTGGTCGCCCTGCCTCATGGCTGTGGCTCGGCTCCGCCCTGACTCTGGGAGGAGGTGGTGGGAGACCTGGGGCCAAGCCCCGCTGCAGCCCCTCGCCCCCGCGCTCAACTTCTCGGGAATCCGATTTCTAGAATATCTAAGTCACAGGAACGTGATGAGGAGTTAATGAGCAAATGTGTAGAAAGTACCTGCGATGATACGATAAAAGGAAGTAGTTATTACGATGACTGTTGTTTTAATTCCTATACTCCTGTTACCGCTGCGCTCTTTGCTAAGCTGACACGTCCTGACGGAGGGGCTGTGAGGCCCCGGGGTGGGGAGAGGGGCAGGGCTGCCTGGGCTTCCCGCTGTCTGGGGAGGCTCTGGGTCTTACCTTGGCCAGGCTGACGAGGGTGCCCTCCCGCTGGGTGTCCACCTGCAGCGCCCGCTCCACCGCACGCTCGGCCCGCTCCTTACTCAGCTTCTGCTGTGCACAGAACTCAGCCCACTCGGCTGCCAGGCGCCGCCGCTCCTCCCCACATTTGTGCATGACGGACTTCTGCTCCTCCAGCAGGGCACTCTGGGGCGAGGGCGTGAGGGCACAGGTGAGCGTCCCTGGGCGCAGACACTCTGGGGCGAGGGCGTGAGGGCACAGGTGAGCGTCCCTGGGCGCAGGCACTCTGGGGCGAGGGCGTGAGGGCACAGGTGAGCATCCCTGGGTGCAGTGGCAGGGACGGAGCTGAACGCGCTGTGGCCGGGCTCACCCTGGCCCTCTCCATCTCCTCCCGCTCCACGGCCATCTGCTGGGCCACCACCTTCCTCTGCTCCTCCAGAGCACGCTGCGCGGACTCGGCCTTGGACTGCTCGGCGTTCACCCGCCAGCGTTCCTGCGGGGCGGGCAGGGTCAGGGCTGAGGGCTCGTGCCCCCCTGGATGCTCCGCCTGCCCCCATTCAGGCCAGAACGTGCCCTGGGGAGCCGTGCAAACCGCCCTCCTCTGGCTTCTCCCACAAACACATCCTTTCCTGAGCGGTGAAAATGGGAAGGAGCCTGAGGCCTGCTGGGGCCCAGCTGCTGGGATTAACTGTGCTGAGGCTGATGGCTCGGGAACCGCTGCTGAGAGAGGCACCTTGCGGCTCCAAAGGGCCAAAGAACAGCAACATCCCTGCTCCCTGAATCGCCAACTACAGCACTGCCCGCCTGTCTCTTGTTATCCAACAGGGAAAGAGCACCAGGGTGGGCATGACACCGTATGCCAGGGGACTCGGGCCACATACAAGCCTGGCCCGAGGCAGGCACTGAATACAGCACCGAATGAAGGGCTGAATAAATGTGGTTCACGATGTAAAAACATCTGTGTCTACGTACTGATATGTCTACAGGATATATGTGATGTCATCAATGGCTATCTCTGGCTAGGCGGTAATTTTTATTTTCTTTATTGTTGCCTGTTATTTTAATTTTTTCAATGAGATGTATCCCCTTATAACCTTGTACAGAAAAGGAAAAGGTATTATTATTATTTCTGAATTCATCAAATATTTATTGGATCAATTCCATCAGGGGTTGCTTTTTTGTTTGGCATAAGGCAGGGGTCAATTTGAGTTTTTTCATAAGTACAGCCAATTGTTTTATTTTAATTTTTTTTTTTGCTGTGCTGCCCAGCTTGTGGGATCTTAGTTTTCTGACCAGGGATTGAACCCGGGCCCCCTGCAGTGAAAGCATGGAGTCCTAACCCCTGGACCGCCAGGGAAGTCCCCATAAGTACAGCCAACTGTTTAAGCACGCTTATTAAAACATGGAACACCTCACGAATTTGCGTCATCCTTGCACAGGGCCATGTTAATCTTCTCTGTGTTGTGCCAGTTTTAGTACATGTGCTGCTGAAGCGAGCACGAAAAGCCATGATTTTCTAAAGAACGAAGCTCACTCTTATACCTGGAAGATACGTAGGGAGTTTAAATACGTTATCTGTTACAGCTCAGAAGGCAAGAGCACTTCTCCGAAAGTCCCAGGCATCCCTGATGAGCAGGTAGGAGCTGGATGGGGTAGGCCTGGGGCGCTTCTGGAGGTGGGGAGGTGGGAGCCCCTGCAGAGGCAGGAAAGGGCAGGAGAGACATTCCAGAGGAGAGTCCTGAGGCCCAGGAGGTGAGGTCAGAGTACAGCTGCCATCCCCTGGGTGCCCGGGGGAGACAGGCCCTGCGGCAGGAGGACGCGCCCCACCTGTTCCAGCAGCCGGCTCTGCTCGCCCAGGCGCGCCTCCATCTTCCCGATGACCTCCTGCAGCCGGCTCCGCTCCTCCTCCATGTCCCGCTGCTGCCGGCTCAGCCTCTCCTGCAGCGCTGGGGGCGGCCACAGGGCACTCACTGCCCGCCCACCTTCCCACCACGGGGGACAGGAGAGAGGCACGTGTGGCCTGTGGTACCTCGGAGCTGCTCGTCTCGCTGCCGGATCCCCAGCTCCCGCTCCTGGGCAGTGCTGAGGTGCGAGGCCTCCACGCGGGAGGACAGCTCGTGCAGGCTGCTGGAGAACTTCTCCATCTGCTCGATGATGCCATTCAGGGACCTGCAGGGGGCTCAGGTCACGGCGGCCTGTGGAGCCCAGCAGGGCCGCGCCAGGCGGGCAGGGCCTGGATGGCGCGCCTACCGCGTATGGGAGGTGGCGCTGGTGACGGCATCGATCTCCCGGTCCTTCAGCAGCTTCAGCCGCTGCAGCTGCTCCTCGTGGTCCTTGCGCATCTCCAGGATGGAGGCCCTGGGGGACAGTGGGGAGGGCGGCTCTGCGTGGGAGGGGCCTGCCTCCGGGTGCTCCATGTTCCGTGGGCCTCTCCTCCCCATGTCCGGGCACTGCCTCACTTTCCCCGGCTCCTCTGCCTTATCTGTCTTGCTGCCTCAGTGCCACATCCACTCTCTGGGGGCAGATTCCTTGTTATGCAGCAAAGGACACTCGACAGGTGTGCCGACAACCCTTTCGTGTCTGGCCAGTCTGAGCCGTGTGAAAAGGCGGCTCTGCCCCCGTCGGCCAACTCCCTCACGTGCTTTTTCTCAGTTTTGCTCTCATCTAGAAAGGTAACCAGATCAACGTGCCAGGCACGACCTTTTCCAGGGCCAGCTAGTTACTAGGCTCGAGAAGTGGGGCCGGTGAGTGGGTTCACCGGTGCTGAGTTAGCCCTTGGGCTGCTTGCTGCTGCCAGGCCCTGCCCAAACAGCTAGTGACCTTGGGCCCTGCTGGTATGCCCTCCCCGCTCTGTAGGAGTGATGGGTCCCCACTGGTGGGGTGATGCGGCAGTGAGCTCGGCTTAGGTCCTTTCCCAGAATGGAAGGGGTCGAGCCTCGGTCCAGAGGCTGCTGAGCCCATGGCTTGGGGTCTCACAGCAATTGGCTTCCCCTGGCCACCCTTGCAGGCAGCCCCCTGCCCCCGGGCCTCCCCCTCACCGCTGCAGCTCCCGGAGCCGCTCCATCTCCTGGTCCTTCTCCTGCACGGTGGCCGCCAAGCGCCGCTGGTGCTGGGCTGTGAGCTCGGCGCGGGCCTGCTCAGCCTCCTGGCAGCGCGACAGATACTGGGCACACAGCTCCTCGTTCTCTCTCCGCAGCCGCTCTTCCCGTTGCTGGTACGATGTTTCTAGCACCTTGACTCGGCTCCTGCCAACAGCACACCCAATCGCGGGGCTCAGGAGGTGCCAGCGGCCACCCGAAGGGCCTCTCAGAGCACGGGAGCTGGGGCCGGCCATGAGCCACTGGAAGTCCGGGCCGGAGGAGCGGGGGGTACCTGTGGGCGCTGTCGATGAGCTCCAGGTCTGCCTGGTGCCTCTGCTGCAAACTTTCCAGCAGCAGCAGGTGCTGCGTCCGCTCCAGCTCGAGCTTCCGCACCTGGGAGACGGCGGGAGGGACGGGGTGTGTGTGTTGTTGGGGGCAGGGTCCCTCAGACCGCCTGGGGAAGCCGTCCGGCCGTCACGTGGCCCGCTCCCACTTCAGCCCTGCCCCCGGAGCCGGCTGCCCCTCTGCCCCGCACCTGGGCCTCGAGCTCCGCCAGCCGGGCCTGGCTCTGCAGGAGGTGGGTCTGGAGCTCGGCAGTGCCCCTCTGAAGCTGAGCCGGTGCCGCCAGGAGCTGCTGCTGGTACTCGGAGCCGGGCAGCAGGCTCCAGGCCAGGAACTCTGGGAGCAGGGACTGGAGGAGAAGGGGAGGGATGTTCCCTGTCAGGTAGGGGACAGGGACTCAGCTGAGCTCACCCACCTCTGGCCCTCACTCACTGGACCTCCCAGGCCCTGTGTCCGATCTGTGGCTGTAGACGGGGACAAGGTCATGACACCGAGAGGCCAAGGATGAGGCCCGGGAGAGTCAAGTGGTCACTGCCCCTCCCCTCGCAGGTCTCGTTGGGGAAGATGAGTCTCCCTTCCGCCCTCAGAACAGCATCCTCCCAGAAAGCGTTCCAGATCCCTGGATAAACAGCCGAGTCCCAGCAGAGCCTTGGCTACAACAAAAGGTTATGACCCTGGCCCTTTCTGTCAGGCCTGAAGCCCTAACGCAGACAGCCGTTCTGGTTCCCGAAGGCTGCCCACCACCCACCACCTCAAAGGCACTTCCGGGTTACCCGGGAGGTGCCCCCGTGGGGCTAGGCCTCCTCAGGCCTGAGGGTCACTGGCGGCGCTGCACCTGGGAAACAGAGGCGGTGCAGTGGGAGGATGGCAAGGATGGAGGAGGCTTTCTAGACAGAGCATCAGGACACCTGCGGCCCTGCTTTCTGATTAGAGCATTCCCAGCTGCCCCCACCTGGGTGCCACCTCACTTCTCTACTGATGCTGGCAAATCCGCACCCAAACCTGCCCGGGAGTGGCTCGGAAAGTGCTTGGCGGGGAGCGCCGGGGGAGCTAGCTGATAGCACGATGCATGCCTCCCAGCGGCTTGTCAGGTTTGGCAGGTGTTGCCTCTGAGCACGTGAGAATTGTTCCATGGGCCCGAAACCTACACCTGTTGGTTCACCCTCCCTACCTGGACAGGCACAGAGAGCCCTGGGGCTTCCTGGGAGCTCGGGAAACCAATTGCAGGCTCTGAAAAATCAACAGCAGAGAAATGAGCAGGGGGTGCAGGGAGGCCCCGCGGGCTGGGTGTGTGCTCGGGAGAGCCCAGCTTCATTCGTCTGCCAGGGCCCCCGAAGGAAGCTCTCAGTGTCTCTCCTCTACCCAGAGTTACACCCCTCGAACAAAGCAGAACACAAACCAGTGCCGGAGCAATCTCCAGGGGCTGTTCCCCTATTTGGGTCACCCGCATGGAGGGCCAAGGCAGCGGGGTTCCAAGTCACGGGGGACCTGAGGACACAGGAATGGGGGTGGCAAGCTGAAGAGCCTTCTGTGTAGGACGCTGGGAGCAGGGGAGGGTTGGCCCAGCAGGAAAGGAAAATGTCAGGTTCAAGTCACTGGCTGCAAAGGCCTGGAGGCTGGTAGTTTACTAAGAGTGAGGTCTCAGCTGGGAAAAGGGGACGGGGACCCAGCTTCCGGCCCCTTACTCCGTGGGCCTGCTACGTGGTCTGGGATACCACACGCCACGCTGACCACGTGGAGCCCAGCACAGCCGTCCGCCGCTCTAGGGAAGGGGGCTCGGGCCACCCCGCCGCACCTCCCCTACCCACAGCCCTGCCATGAATGTACCCTGAGGCGGCAGGCCGGGCAGGCGGCCTCTGCGCTGCCGTGCCTGGGGTCCCCCCGGCGGCTGCTGGCTCGAGCCCTTGGGTGCCGGCAGCAGGCTGGCTGAGGAAGTAAATGTTAAAGTGAAGGAGGCAGAAGGTCTGGGTTAGGCTGGACCAAGACAGGCTGGGACAAAGCCCACGAGTGAAGCTGTGTGGCCGCCCCTCTTCCTGCCTCCCCTCAGCCTTCCTCCTGTTCCTAACCATCCCATCTTGGTAATTCTCCTCCCAAGTCTGAGCGCCTGGCCTTCCGTAGCCCGTCCTGGCCTCAGCGCTCACTGGGACCACCTGATGATGTCCCAGGAGCGACCATGGGCCTGTTACGGGCAGCAAGGCCGTGCGCCGGTCCGCGCGGCTCCCTCAGCTTCGGCGGAGGGCCTGCTCACTCACCCTCCCGCCAGCTCCAGCACCCTTTGGGCTCCTCGCTTCTCCTGTCTGGTGCTCCCCCTTGCTTCTCGGCTCTCGGGGTCACCTCGGTTTCAGGTCCAGGTCCAAACCGCCCTCCTCATTCACCCCAACCCCAGGGCTGGGTGACATCCCTGGCCTGTCACACGAGCGCCCCGCCTCGCCTCCCCTTCGCTCCAGCCGCAGAGCATCCTGCTGCTTCCTCTGGACAGTCCTGGCCTCGCCAGCCCCTCAGGGCCGTTCACATTCCACGGCCTCCCCTTCTCGAACACTCCCCAGGAGCGCGAGTGGGTCCAACCCGCGCACGCATTGCCTGCCTTAGCTCGGTCAGCAGGGCAGTTGGACACCGGGTGTCCCGCCAGCCCGAGGGCGCTGTGGACAGAGCCCCTGCTCAGAGGCACCGGGATGGCTGTGTGTTTGCCATAAGGGCGCCCTCGGTCTCCTGCCCGATCAGGTCAGCACCTGTCCCCACAGCAGTCAGGGAGTGAGCGTCGGCAGCCCCCCAGCTCCCCTGTGCTTTCATCTGAGCAAAGGCAGGGAGCTAGACACTCTCCCCATCACCTAAAGAAAGGGAGAAGCACGGCCGAGAGGCGGTGCTCTGCTCTGAGGCACGCTACGGGCACTCCCGACTGAGGCACCGAGACAGCAGGGTCCTCCTTCCACTAGAGACAGCAGCCCTGGGACTTCGTTGGTGGCACAGTGGCTAAGACTCCGCGCTCCCAATGCAGGGGGGAGTGGGTTTGATTCCTGGTCAGAGAACTAGATCCGACTTGCCGCAACTAAGAGTCTGCGTGCTGCAACTAAAAAAGAT